CCCCAAAACCCCAAAACCCCAAAACCCCTTGTGCTAAGATTGGCTAAAAATCCTTTCTCTGTTTTTAATATTAAAAATTATTTGGGATAAAGAGAGGAGAAAAGCATGAATTCTATTTAGAAATTTGTTTTGACTGATAAGATAAAGAATGACAGCTTGACCAATAAGATCTTGTCTTTTGCTTTTAACTACGAAGATTCTTGTTTATTCTTATCACTTGCTTAGTCTAAATCAAAGGAATTTCTTAAAAAGCATAGAAGAATGATAAATGACAGCCATTTCAATCAGATGAGTTTTTCTAATCTACAATGCACCTACATTCTCAAAAACAAGCCTCTAGTGAATACTAAGTTGCAACCTTTAACGCTTATTAATCATCGAAAAGATATAACTATGCATATTTCAAATGCTGGTCTTCTATTTTTTGATTTAGTAACCACGCAAGAACTCAGGATTAATAATCACTGTAAAGGTTAGTAAATCACATCTTTTGCTTTGCTATAGCCATAAAATATTTGGAATCCTTTGAAAAATGACTATATATTTTTGTTTGGTCTCGAGAATGGCAATTTTATTGTATGCAATAAATAAGGTATACTTTTTTAAAAGAGTCTTTATGAATCTAGAGTTGATAAGATTCTCACAATCATTAACACAAATAACTTATTCTTAACAGTATCGCTTGAAGACATGCATATCAGAATGTGGAGACTCAAATTTATTTACAATGAAGATGAAGAAAACTAAGACATATATTAGGGTCCACTGTAAATTGCCTTAATAAAATAACTCAAGGAAATATAATATACCTAGGTATATGCAGTGAGAATTCCAGATTCAAACTCTGAGAATAAGAATAAAACACCAAAAAAGGGTTAAGCATCACCTAGTGTGAAAAAAAATCCAATATTAGATATTTCGTAAAATCAATAGTCGCTTGAGAATATTATATTAGCTAAAGACACATGCGATGAAATTGTGATTGCATATGATAATTTTGCTAGAACTACTGTCTTCATCTGCAAACTTATGTTAGAGAGAGATAATATCACAGATGACTTAGCAATAGAAGATAAGCATTATGTCATTTCATACAGATCAACCAAGCAATAAGATGATGTAAAGATCAAGAGGCTGATCAAATGCTGCAATGAGTATCTAATCGTATAGAATAAAGAATATATAAGGATAATAGAGATTGGAGAAAAAACTTAGCAATACTCAAAGCTATTGATCGCTAAAATAGCTAAGTAGTTTGGAATAAATTCTGTTGAATAGATCAAGGACATATTTATTACATAGCTATCAAGAGATTCATTTGCTTATTTGTTTATGATATGCTTCTAGATAAAGGGTAAAACTCCTATTATGGGATATTTTGATCCAATAAATGAATTATACTTCAATCCAATTGCTATTGATAACTGAAAGAATTATTTATTTAGTAATTGATAATATTTTACCTTTATTTGTTGATGGGGTTTTGGGGTTTTGGGGTTTTGGGG